TCTTTCAAAGCTTAGGTTTATCACGTGTGTAGAATATCAATGTACGTATGACTTGTGAACGAAGATTGAGATAATGAGACTTTGATAAAGTGAGGTGATAACATCCGACACTTCTTGTGACATAGAAAATAATTCGCAACATTAGAGCACTTAGCGGCGAGAAGGCGAGAAGTGGTAATCGGTTTCACTGCATCGAAGGCAAAATATGAGAAGTTATAGTGAGGTCAATTTAAATAGTGCGCTGCATTTTTGCATAGCCACTTTGGCGATTTAAGAATAACCTGGGAGATTACTGCGAAGTATAAGAAGAACGGTTTCGCTAGGACATTTTAGGACAATGGTAGGGAGGAGGTGCCAAGGTCGATAAGACTACCACATCATGACGGACTGCAGCTGAACCTTAGTGACGGATTGTCCTGAGCAAAGCTATGATAAAAAAGCTTACGTAGAACTGTTTGTGTATGTGTTGTATCATTTGAATTGAGTAAACAGGGTACATATTTTTGTATCATAACTGATGCCGCAGACCTTTTCATTTTCTTGTTCCGCAGTGTAATTAACCAATGTCCAAGTCGCTGTTAATCTCTTGACAATAGACTCATTTTCAATCATGATGCCCCTTTTCTCAAACCAGGGCTGCTTCAGAACTATAGATCCTAAGGTTTAGTTTTTTCCATTCTTTGTTTATACATAAATCGATATATGTATATCGCATATAATGCAAGGTACAATTTTTATTACTTACATCAATTCAATTGACTGGTCTATAAAGAATTACTGGGAGGTACCGCACACAAAAATTGTGACTAATGTATCAGTGCCTGTAATCGCTATATGACAGAACATTTCTATTCTTTTTTCTCGCCGATGCACGAAAGCAGTTGTTGCAATGACAGTCGATTCATTTGTTTCAGCACTCGTGTTACAAATTGCATCCTAGGAGGTCTCGGATGTAATGCGACCTAAACAAATGCGTACCCGTTACAACGAAGATGACCGGATATATTTTTTGATCTGTCAAGGATAATTTCATGGGATAAAGATCCCGTGCAGCAGTAGTGCAGAACAACCTAGACTGGATTTTTCAAACACATGTGCTTTCTAGTGGCCAGAGAAAGATGGAGGACTATCGACATGAAAACCACAGGATAAGTTTCAAATGTTACAGGTCCTCCACTTTTTCAATTTCCTCAAATGCTAACCATATACAAAATGCCTCCCCTCATCCAAAGCTTGAAAGCAGATTCAGTCTTTATATACTAAGTGACATATAAATCCGAACACCCAGTTTAAATGGTTTTATTTTAATAAAATTTTGTATAATTACTTAATGAAGCATAATAAGTAAATGATAGAAAATTCAAAATGATTGCACTGCTTTAAAGCCCTTTGACCTTTAATAATGTGTGGATGCACCCTGATGTGCTACGCATTCTCCAACGCGCCTAGGCATGCTTCTGATCAGGTGGTCAATGTCCTCCTGTGGTATCTCATTCCAGGCAACCACCAACTCCTCTCGAAGTGCTTCTAGAGTCTGAGGAGGACGTTGCAAATTGAGCAATCTCCTACCCATCATATCCCACACGTGCTCAATTGGGGATAAGTCGGGAGATCTTGGTGGCCATGGTAACAATGTGACATCATTATGTTAAAAGAAGTCTATTGTGACTCTTGCAACATGTGGTCGGGCATTATCTTGTTGGAAAGTTGGATCTGCCAGGGTGTCAAGATAGGGTAAAAGATGGGGTTCTAGAACTTCCTAGATATAACGCTGCGCGTTCATGTTACCTCTGATGAAGATTAAAGGTGACCTGGAACCATAAGCTATAGCACCCCAAAACCATAACTCCAACAGTGTGATGAACATGTCTTTCAACAAAAAACTGTGGATTCCTCCTTTCACCACGTCGCCTTCTAACCCTAGCACGACCATCGTGCATGCCTAAACAAAATCGAGACTCGTCACTAAAGACAATACTGTTCCATTCCTGATCCCAGAGTGACCGTTGTCTGCACCACTCAAGGCGATTACGTCGGTGTTCTCGAGTTAAAGGGAGGACCCAGTGTGGCCGGTATGAAAACAAGCCAAAACTTCTCATTCGTCGGTAAACACTTCGCATGCCAGTAGGTCTTCCGTGTCCTGCAAACGATTCATTTGCAATGGACCTGGTAGTGGAGAAACGGTCCCTTAAGGCCAATAATCTTAGGCGGCGATCTTCATGGTCTGTTGTTCTACGGCGGCGTCCAGTGCCCCTTGCTCTTTGCGTACGGCCTTCTCGAAGCCATGCTTGACAACACCTAACCACAGTGTCTACACTTCTTTGCACTCTAACTGCAATTGCCCGAAAAGAAAGTCCAGCTTCACGAAGTTCCACTATACGGCCCCTATCAAACTCACTAAGTTGACGAAATCGTACAGGTCTCCGTACTCTAGGCATCGTAACCGATCGTAAAGGATGTCAAGAACCAAAATCCGCCAACGTTGATTCTTTACTGCGGCTGAAAATTCATTTTTAGAGCGTTAGTGAATTAAAAAAAAGCAGTATAAAAACCGGAATGTCCAACTGATAAGGCTGAAATTTTTTTCACTTGTTATTTACAGTAAGATAAATACATTCACCAACTTTTATTAAAATAAAACCATTTAAACTGGGTGTTCGGATTTATATGTCACTTAGTATATTTCTTTTACCTTTAAGATAACGAATTCTACTTGAATGTTCTATCTTTATCACCTACTTCAGGATAACAAATTACACATTAGATAGCCAGGTTGAGATGGGTAGCTACTCACCACTTGTTGTTAAATATTTGAATTGACATAATAAAGCTAGGAGGATACAATTTCAAAGGAAACTATTATTTACCTAGCCGATTTCTGTTATCATTATTTTTCTAGGGAGAGAAAAGCTTCTTCTTGATCAGTAAAAAAATATCTTGTAGAATGATTCCTCATTTTTCTATAAAAGCATATTATTTCAATTTCGACAACTCTCTTCTCTACTGGTAGAATCAATGACTACAAATATGAAAGCATACCTCTAACTATGTCACAAGAGGCTTACTAAAGGTATGTCTCACGTTCGCCCTGTACAGGATTAAGAATAAATCTTGCCAAAAGACCCAAAAGCATACAATAGACACCCAACTCCGTCAAGTACTCCAACTTAAGCTCATGTAAGCCAAGTCGGTCTCCGTTGATGCCGTATGCAAATTTTCCGAAAATCGCTCGAGTTTATATAAACCAGACATAACAGTATGGCCTAACGTAACGGATGCTAATAAGAAATACTCCAGTAGGCTCGGCAAGTTTATATTTCGAAAGAGTATCTTATTTGATTATTTATTTACAGTAAACTTGCAGATGCGTATTTGGACATTAGTGAGAATCATTCAAGCAATCGAGGTGAAATATTTATTCTTGTTGTTTTAGTTTATTATACCGAAAAGAGGACCAATTGAATAACGCGCTTTCAGTAACCCCTCAGGGCCCTCAGTGTAAGATAACAGCTCCTATAGGCCTAAAGCAGAATACTTATGTGGATCCTTTCCGTGATGTGGCTGAAGCGAAAACCAAATGATATACAGTAGCGAGCAAAAGTGGAGAAACATTTTATTTCTTTAAAGGTTGCATTAAACTATTAAAGTAAACTAAACACTTATGTTTTATTATAACTTAATGTAACATGTAATTCAAAGCCAACATGAAAATAAAATAGAGAAACAATATACAAAGCAATTGTCGTATACAAAGAAGCTAATACTTGGTTGCATAACCTTGGTTTTTCATAACTGCCAGACATATTTTTCTCATAGAACCAATTAGGCTATCTATTGTTTCTTTTGGAATAGAACTCCAGGCGACTCCGATTGTTTCAAATAGTTCGGCACTATTTTTGAGCTCTTCTGGATGTTCAGTCCGAATTTTTTTATCAACTAAATCCCATAGGTTCTCTATGGGGTTAAGATCTGGACTCTGAGCTGGCCACTTAATGACATGAATATTGTGATTTGCAAAAAATGTTTTTATTATTTTCGCTGTGACTTGGAGTCGTTATCGTGCTGGAACCGCCAGCGTAGAGGCATGTTTTCTTCTGCGTAAGGTAGCATGGTATCAGTTAATATTTCCAAGTATTTGTACAGGTGTATAATTCCGTCAATTTTGACGATGGGTCCCATTTGAAGACCACATAAGCAACCCCATACTTGAACCTTCCCGCCTCCGTATTTGACTGTGCCCAAAGTAAACTTGAGTCAAATGATCGTAAGCAAATTAAAGACGGGCGGTCCGATTTTTCTTGGAAATAAAGGGTTGTTTAGATGGTCTCCTTGCTGGTAAATCACTCTCCCTTAAACGCCTTCGAACAGTGTGGACACCAATATTTACTTCTTCAAGTTGAGCTTTTATGTCGAAGCAAGAAAATAATTTAAGTAAAATAGATCAGCATAAAGTGAAAAATGTATCAAAAATATAAAAAAAATAATGAAAAAATAAAATAAAAGCGAAAGCACTAGAAACAAATGGTTGTGTAATCTGACAAGCAAAGTGAGAAAGAGAAGAAAATGAAAAAGTTAAACAAAAAAAGGAGCTGATATAAAATAAAACAATATAATGGTACTCCAATACTTTATGCAACTATAAAAATATAATAGTGGTAATAACAAATGCTCTATTTTCTATTTGAGCATAATATTGACAAGATCTGTCCAGTTTTGTTCATCGACCAGTGCCAATAATAGATTTAAACAAAAAAATTCCACCATGACGAAATTCAGTAAGCGTGGAGCACAATAGAAGAGTCTCATATCCGAAGTGCAAAAGGCCAGAGAAGCTGATTCTCGTCGAGTGAAACGGCCAAAGAGGATACCTTAATAAGCAACAGCAACACTTTATTGAATTAAATCTATAGCCACTGGAGTAAAACACCCGCTGTTAATTTTAATAACATTGCGAGTAGAGCAGACCGTCGGTCGGAGTTGCCAAATTACTTAGTATTCATAAGAGAGCTCCCTGTTGAATTATGAAATCCAAATAGGCGACTATATAAACAAAATGGACACACGTACGGGGTGTAATTGTCATTGTACATTCGTACGTTCAAAGTGTTACCTGAAATGGCCTTCAAGGTAGGTGATAAAAGTGAAATTCTTCTTTGCACCAAATTACAATTGAAATTAGTTGAAAGTCGAATTTGGATGTTAGAGCAAATGTAAAGTGACGATTTTACTGTTGTTGTAAAAGTGGAAAGGCAAAGCAGTTGCTTTTCAGTATCTTACTTGATTATGAATTCTGTCTTGTTCTACATTTTTGGGAAGCTTTAGTAAAAAGATAGCGACGCGTCTATCGATACTGTTATGCTATTGTCTATTTGGAATGATGCGTTTTTAAGCATTTTCTCACAAAATTAATAGTTTGGGTTATCGATTTGAGAGCTCTTCTTTCACCTAGCAGGACCACCAAAGACTTGCTTCACAGTTTTTACTACCCTTCGCACTTTCTATACAGGACCTTGTTACAGTAAACACCACTCTCTGCTTTGAATGACCATTATAATTTGTTTCCGTTCAGTTAAAGTAAGGAAAACCGTAAAACATTGCTTCGACTAAAATAAAAAGATGTTTGGTAATTAATATCAGGCTTCTAAGAAAAATGTTGCAATGTTTTAGTACCAGTCAGCATAAAATGATCATTCCAGTACATTACCACTAGTAATATACACTTTGAACTATACAGGGTGACTTGTAATGTCACGTATTCCTGTTAAGGGGTGATAGATTAGGTCAAAAGCAACCGATTTTGTCTATCATGTCGTATCCAAAAGTTAACCATTTTTGGGTTATTTAAATTTTAAGTTTTTTATTTTTTATTCCGATTTCAGACGGTTAAAATTGAAATACAAAAAAACTGCATGCTTGATTTTGAGTTTTTTGTTATCGTCACATAGCAGACATTCCAATAGTTCATAATAAGCAATAAAATGTTGAAAAGCTACAAACGTTTTAAAATTACGCTTTTTAAATGTATCATTTTCTTTTTTTTACTAACTTATTCGATAAAAAATGCAATTTTCTGTAAAAAATCTCCTAGTAATGAAATGTGCAAATTATGTAAATAATATCTCTATCTAACAAGCTTTCATTTGAGGTATTAAGCGTTCAATTATCTGAAGTACATGCAGAGAAACAACAATGACCCTACAAAGGCTGGATTTTTAAGAAATTTGTATTACCTGTTTGAGCAAGTCGTTACTGTCCTCAAAGGACTCGCATACCATGATTGTTTTATGGCATCGGCTCGACGAGGAAGCGAGCGAAAAGAGCTGACTTAGTGGAGGAGTGAGAGAGAGAGCTGTTATTATTTATCATTGTAGTTACGCCATCACCGCACGCCAAGTGAGAATTAGGTTTAGTTGGTATCAACTACTACGTACGCGCACACGTTTTACGCACGATTATTATTTTCGAGTTTCCCAGTTCATTTCGAGTGGTTTCTTTATCATCATGGCAGACGCAGAAGATCCGCCGTGAATATCGGCAACGTTTCCCGAATCGACGAACACCTCGTGTTACTGTGTTTGACTCTGTGTATCGGCGCATCCGCCAAACCGGACGTGTTCAAAGGCAACATAGTGATGCTGGTCGACCCCGAGTCTATCCTCCTGAAGATGAAGAGGAAATCCTTCGTGTGTTTCAGGAAGACCCTACTACGTCTACGCGCATTGTGGCTGCTCAGTTGGGTATATTACGATACAAGGTATGGTTTACTGTGCATACTGCAACATTATACCCTTATCACTACACGCATGTACATGTAATTGAAGAGGGCGATCCTGCAAGACGATTAGATTTCTGCAGGTACATGTTACACACAGATACAGAAGATCCAGACTATTTTAAGAAAATTCTGTGGACCGATGAATCGAAGTTTGATAAGGACGGGATCACTAACTACCATAATGCTCATTAACGGGTTGATGAAGAAGCTTTAAACCCCCGAAAAATATGACCGACGGGGTCTCAGAGCCGGTTTTCAGTCAATGTGTGGATTGGCATCATTGATGGATATTTAATTATTGGACCTCATTTTCTGCCCGCCAATTTAAATGGAGAAGTGTATGAAGAGTTCTTGAAAAATCACTTGTTTCCATTAATGGAAGACGTCCCATTGGCGACGAGACAAAATATGCGGTTCCAGCACGACGGCTGTCCCGCACACTACAGTAGATTAGTACGGGCGTATTTAGACTATAAATTTCCAAATCAATGGATTGGCAGAGGCGGGCCCATTGCCTGGCCAGCAAGAAGCCCAGATCTCACACCGATGGATTACTATGTGTGGGCACATATGAAAAGCCTGGTGTACGATGTTTCGCCCGTACCAACGCGCGATGAATTAATTACAAGGATAGTCAGTGCAGCTGACCAAATAAAAAGCCGCTCAACAACTAGAGTTACCAAAAGTGAATTACGTAAGAGAATGCGGGCGTGTATTCGTAACAGAGGCTTACAATTTGAGCAGAATCTGTAACATACTAAAGGAAATGTAATTAAATAAAACTGTAATTAAAAAGCCTTTTATTTATCCTACGTAATTATCGTTCGTACAACTTTACTTTTCTTTTTTTAATTTTATGTCTTTGTACTTGAGTTAGTTGTAACTTTTATACCTCAAATGAAAGCTTGTTAGATAGAGATATTATTTACATAATTTGCACATTTCATTACTAGGAGATTTTTTACAGGAAATTACATTCCTTATCGAATACGTTAGTAAAAAAATAAGAAAATCATACATTTCAAAAGCGTAATTTTAAAACTTTTGTTAGTTTTCAACATTTTATTACTTATTATGAACTATTGGAATGTTCGCTATGCGACGATAACAAAAAACTCAAAATCGAACATGTAGTTTTTTTTGTATTTCAAACTTAACCGTCTGAAATCGGAATAAAAAATAAAAAAAAATAAATTTGAAATAACTCAAAAACTTCTGGATAGGACATTATAGGACAAAATCGGTTGATTTTGACCTAATCTATCACCCCTTAACAGGAATACACCGAGAACAAAGTAAATTAGGAGAGCATTAGCTTCAAGTTATGCAAAACTATTTGTTGATAAATCATTTCATTGCTAATAAGAAGCCTAGATCGTGGGCAACTAGTAATTATTTTGGTAATGTCAGAATACAAGCGGGTACCAAGTAAATTGACCATAAATTGGTCATCATCCCACAAGTCTAGAAGGACGTAACGGTTATAAAGACTTGTCAAAATTTTTTCAGATCTTCATCCTACTAGCAACCATGGCTCTTGCGAGAGCAGAAGCTCAAGCCGCTGTCTTAGCTCCGGCACCAGTTCTGGCAAGGATATCCGATTCCACGTTTGACCCAAACCCAGCATATTCTTTCGGCTACGATGTTCAAGATGCTCTTACTGGAGACTCTAAGGGACACGTCGAAAGCAGAGCTAATGGAATTGTGTCGGGTCAGTACAACGTTGCCGAACCTGATGGTAAGAGTCCCAATCAAGATATCCGTGGATCAAGTTAGAGACACATTTATAAACGATCCTTAATGATTGAGTGCCGTTTGAAGATTTGAGGAATGATATTCCTTAGATTTTAAACAAACAATAACGCATCCTTGAGATACGTTCAGAGGAAGGTTCAATATTTGCATTTTAACAGTTATCATCACAGGCTATCCCAATTTCTTTTTCTGGCCGTATGTATTTAGCATTTTGCATGTTGAATTTTGGACGGTTGCTAAGCAATTCAGAATAGTAATGAAACGTAATCTGCTCTCTCGATTCTAAAGCAAATTGGGATTTTATAGTAGACCGTACTAGACTAGTAGTAGCAACAAGTATCGCAATAATCAGCAATTGTTGAGTACGTTTCACGTTTGAGCGCTATACAGCCTTGTAATTCAAATATTTAGCTCATCTGAAAATTAATCGGAGATTTTTCACAATAATGAGTTGAGTTTTCCAAAAAAAAAACCTATCCACTTGTTTGTTTTCCACTTGTCTGTCTCCAAGACCAGGCGTATATCACCTAGACTGTACTGATGAGTTTGTAAATGGCACAAAGCAGCGCTGTCTACGTTTGGGTACGGTACACGGAGAACAAACATATTTAGTTCAGCTCATTCTACTTTCGACATCACTGCTGGCGAGCAAGCATTACAATCGCGAAAAATATCGAAAATGATATATGATTTTTTGATGCTATATGACATGTACATCTCGAAAAACCATGTCTTTTATTTCTGTCGGTCTGTCTGTCCGCTTGCTAATCCTTGACCCGTCTATAACTCGATGATTACGATGCCAAGGATGAAAGACTACTTTAGTTTTAGAAGATCGGTTCAGTGGCGGCCGAGCTATGGGTGAACGACGAAAAAAATATAAATCGCTAAAACATCGTTTCTAGAAGATTCAGACTATATTGAGAAAAAATGGTAGGGGTTCAAAGTTGTGGGCTGTAGGGGCTATATTTCAAATTGTGTATGTGGACCGTGGACCGTCGATCGACACGCAAGATGCGATCATAGTTTCCATCATGTTCGCCCGCAGGAATTTGTCTCAGGGGAAGCGGGAAGGCCATTTATTGGTAAGAAATCACTTTATCTGAAAGCCTACCTGCCTCAAAAGCATTTTGAAGAGCGTGGGGTTGCATACCTTCTCAGAGGGCCAAATCCCAAAGAGCGCCAGAATTGTACAGATAATCATGCTTAATATGCATATTTTAATTGTATCAGCCTGTTTGACGCACCTAATCCATTGTTATACGTATTCGAAGCTAAATTGTTTCTCACAAAAGCGAATATGTACCGAACATAATCCTTTGTGAACTGATGACAGCGTTGCTTAGCAAGTGTAGAGTCAACCTACTTGACGCAATGTTATTTGTATATCACGATGTGCATTTTCCACATTTAATCTGTTAGAAAACTGACACATAGTTGATATCAATTTATCAATCAGACCTCCGACTTAAAAGCATCATGCATGAATCTTCTTGTCTTCCTGCCTGACCCATTTTTTACTTTATAGGTACCAGGAGGATCGTGGACTATACAGCAGACCCAATCAACGGATTCAATGCAGTGGTGAGAAAGGCTCCTCTAGCAGTGGCTGCTCCAGTAGTAGCAAGGGCAGCGCCCTTATTGGCTAGGGCTGTGGCACCTGCACCGATTGTGGCCCATGCGGCACCCATTGTGGCTGGTGCTCCATACGCCAGAATAGCGCTTGGTTGAGTTTTAGGTGAATACCATTGTGACATATAAGTTGAATCACTCGTCAGCAGAACCACTTCCTGCCTTCAAAGTCGGAGAGACCCACTTCACTTACCCGGCATTATAGGAGCACAGGCGAAAATTCTTATATTGCCGGTGCTTGGTCTTCATATTTAAGCATTTAATGGTTTTGTTGCAGTGATATGACGTAGATGTCATTAAGGAGATCGTAATAGGCCAATTCAAACTCTGTTGTGATGTTATTTTATACGTTTGTACATATTTTTTACCTTATTATGTAGTTTTAGTGTCTACTATATGAAAATATAAAGATGATGCAAGTGATACATTTATTAATATTTCCACCAAAAACCTGCTCATCATAGTAGATAGATTTCAAAAATATGAATAGCTATCAAGTTTCAGATTCCTGTTGTGAATATCTTCTTAGATAGTGCTTCGTGTAGTTGCGGACAAAAGATTGGTAAGTATTTGGAGAAAAATAAGAGCCAACTATTAAGGTATGATGAAGTTGCCTATAAATCAAACTTTGAGCAATAAAAACCTTGTAGTGGTAATGAACAATTTTTCCTAAGCCCTATCTTTTGCTTGCCCGCAATTCTAGCAACATCCACTGAAACGCAACTTTGCAATCACCCTTGACATGTTATCGCTAGAGAGGAGAGAGGCAAGTGCACGACAATTGACACACGATTTGATTTTAAGGAGTGGATACGCTAATCGGGAGCGAGGCATATGGCAAACACCTTGTCTTGATGACCCAACGGTGTTCTTCTCCACTTTTTTAACCCGTCTCATGACTATTTCAACCTTTTCGCTAATATAGCACTAAAAGCTGAAATCAAAGCTGCACAACTTTCAACCAGACGTTCCTTCATGGTCGGCTTCAAGGAATGAAGTGAATCGTGACTAGGTGAAGAAATCGCGGCCCTCAGAAGGTCACCCTACTCAATCCAACAGTAAGGAAAGAGAGATCGAAAGCGCGCTACGCTGCCTAGTAGTATATTTATTCGAAAACGTAGCAAAACTTAAAAACTATACATCGGAAATTAATGAAACTTAAGTCGTTTAAGCAATAATTTGGACATGGAATCAGAATCATCCGACACTAATTTTTAACGGCGGAATTCGAGAGCTTCTGTATCATCTGTTGTGTTGTGTGTTGAAAATAATTAAACATCTAGACATGGATAATAATAAACAAAATATGTAAAATTTCATGTGAGATGTTTTCTTGTATACCGTGAGTTGAACTGGTCACTATTTTTTGATTTACTTCTTTATTTTAGTATTATTTAAAGCAATATATAATAAGGCTCCAACCTTTTTTTTCGAATTTATCCTTTGAGTGGTCTTAAAATGCCTTTGAAACACCTCTGATTATATATAACATGCACCATGGGACCGAATGCTAGATTTAATTTTAATTACTACTAACCTGACGCCCTCATAGTGACTAATCGACCTCTGATTCTGACCTATTAACCAGATACCCCTAAATCACAATTGAGGTGACCTTCAGATGTCCTCATAGAGCCAAGTTCGCAGATTTGAAATCATCGACCCAAATACTCTATTGTACTGAAAATCGTATAAATGCCCTAATCATTTTTTTGACAGCTTTTCGGACCACTGTGCGCTGTAGTTATTTTACCCTTCAGTACCTATTGGAAAAGTATTACAGTCTTTGGTCATGACATGCGGAACGTTAATGACATCCCAATTCCGGACTGAAAAACTACAGTAGTTAGCCTTCACTCTTCTTAGCAAGGAATGGGTGCATGCCTGATCACTTTACCATGACAAACAATCTCCACAGACAGTGGAAGTACTGAAAATATTCTTCTACCACAGTAGTGTATTTGTAAGTCGTCAGTCTGCGAAACGGGGTAAGACAGCCTTATAAATAAAAATATTTACATCCACTTTTGTTATTGGATCAATAGGACATTATATTCTTTCGCAGAGCTACGAACTTTTACAAAGGATTTATCCATAATGCATGAGAGCTTGTCAAAAAGCTCTTAAAAGAGTAAAATCCTCCTCGTGATGGGACTGAAATGATATTCTGAGGAGGTATTTTCTTTACTGGTACGCACAGAATTGTTGAGGTCCACGAAAGTCTTTGAAACATCTATTTATTTTGTGATGGAAATACCTAAAGTAGTTATAATACATTCAGTAGATTGATACGGTTATTACCTATAATGGTACAAGTAGTTATTTCTGTGATATAATGGTCAGGTTTTAGTATTTGTCGATCTAGGGCAGTGATCGCCATTATTTTCAGTGTGTTGAGCTACTATGGATAATTTTGGAATAAATAGTAGCAATATAAGCCAACTTAAATGAAATTATACACAGTTGAATGTGACATACATGTGTTTATTTTACTAATACAAACTAATAAACTTAAATAAACTAATAACTAATACATACTACATCGTTCATCATTACGCCGATGATACCCAACTTTATAACAGCTTTGATCCTGATGAATATATGCTTGGCCAACATCAAATCAATCAAGATCTGCAGTCCATTTTTGACATCTCTAGTGCTCACAATCTAAAACTGAATGCTGGCAAATCTTGCTGCATTTTATTTGGGCCCAAAAAGAATCGTGAAATAAATCAATATCGCATTAATCTTATGGTGAATAATGAAGACGTATCCTTCGTAAACGAATTCAAAAACCTTGGTATCTGGTTTGACTGCAAGCTACGCTTCACTAAACATGTTAACCAACAATGCAATGCGTCCTATAATGTGCTTCGTCAGTTATACCCGAGTCGAAGTGTCCTGTCAACACAGCTCAAGCTTAAACTCTGCGAATCCCTTATCCTGCCAAAATTATCTTACGGTGACTTTGTTGATTCAGATGATACAAAACTCGTACATCAGATTTTCTTATGGAATCCGTAAATTTGATCATATTAGTAGCGCTTTTGACCAATCGGGATGGTTTAAGATGAATAAATTGAGGAAATTGCATTGCCTATCTCTGGTACATAAGACGTTTCTCCTTAAAGCGCCATATTATCTTTATTCAAAGCTAAACCTCCTCTGTCAGTATAATCAAAGATCCTCTAGGAATAAACGCATCTTACTTATCCCGCGGCATTCGACAGCATTGTTCACACGCAGTTTCTCGTACTGGCCACCCAAACTACCAGTATATAACTGCTTGTCAAGTGAGTATAAAGAAAATAGCCTAAGCAATTTTAAAAAAGGTTAAAGATGAGTTTAAAGCAATCGGATGGCTAGAATTTAACTTTACGCATATCCACAGGTAATTGATTGTTTCCCTTTTCTGAGAAGTGTAATATTTTAAGATTTTCACTTTTTGGTGGTCAATGCTGTGAACTGTTCCATTTAAATGTAGGTATTTTTTTTCTCTTTATAGTTTGTGTCAATGTTTTTTTAGGTCGGGTTGAAAAACAGCATAAGCTGACACTTCACCTTTTCGTCACTGTTCCTCTTAAGCCAATTATTTTGTAATTATGTGACGAATAAAGGCCATTTATTATTATTATACTACATAACTACATCCTACCAATCGTAGGTGTCTGAAAAACATGTCCAGATAAAAAATGCGTGTTCAATGAGAAGCCTGACACTCAGAATCACTGACAATTTTTTTAATGATTGGAGTATAATTTGATACCGCCATTCGAATACAATTATCCAAATGTTCATGTGTAGGTTGATTAAGATATTTGTTTTTAATACACTTCATATTTGAAGAAGGAGATTCACACAGATAGGTTGAACTAAATAATGCTTTCACTTTCAAGGCAACGCGACATATAAGTGAATATTTATCTCTAGTTAATGAAGGCCAGATACATTTTGTATTTGAGACTGATGATTTTAAAGCTAAATCATTTTGAAACGCCATCACTTTCATTTCTGTCGCAGCGATGTCTTGGCAATCTAGATGTTGGACATCAATTTCCATGAAGGGTGAAACAACAAATTGCGCCAGTATAGCAATTTTGTTAGAGACTATTCCTACATGATATTTACTGTCATATGGTTCTAATGGACTTAGAGATATATTTTCTGAAAGAACAGGATAATGCCTGGAATCGCCATCGATTAAGTTTTGTTCCCAAAACTCAAGCTTTTCGATAAACGCTTTTATATCAGAAATCATTTCTGCTAGTTCTTTGTCTCTCTCCTAAAGCTGCAAATTAAATTCATTTAATTTTTCCGTAATATCCACAAGAGAACCAAAATCCCTAAGCCAGATTGAATTTTCCAGTTCCGGCATCGGTTCATCAAGTGGTCTGAAAAATTGAACTATGGGAGATATGATATCATTAAAAAGCGTCAGCACTCGTCCCCTACTTAACCATCGGACTTCAGAGTGGAGAAGTAGTTCCCGGCATTGACAGTCAATTTCATCAGCCAAGGTTTTGAATAATCTTCTTTGTAACGCTTGAGCTCTAATCTTGTTAAAAATTTTTACTACCAACTTCATAACGTTGTTTAGTTAGGGAAACTGTCCACATAATGCTTGCTGATGGATAATGCAGTGATAACAGAGAAATTGCGGAAAACTTTGATTTTTACGACATTATCCCACGAGACCCATATAATAATAATAAAGTGTCTTTATTGGCAACCTTCCATATTATGGCGAAGTTTAGCTTGATTGCTACTCTTCCACTTAACCATAATATGGAAAAAAACATCAAAAACTTATACAAGGAACATAATACATAGAATATAAACAATTACAGAACAATGACGAGATTATACCATCTGCTAGCCAAGCATGCCAGAAAGCAAATATCGACATGAACATTAGAAGTCAACCAAATTGAAAATATTCATTTAACAAAATCCCAAAAATAAAAATAAAATAAATTAACAACTCAAACATTGAGAGATGATTGTATCTCTAATAGCTGTTTTCTAACTGATTTTTTAAAAGATAGTAAACTTTCTTGTTCGTTAGCCGCACTGACTGAATTGTAAAGCTGAACGGCATTATACGTGAAAGACCTCTGATATAATGAGGTGTAGTGAAGAGGAATATTGAACTGTTCATCATGACGTAACCTTCTTGAAATTAAATTCCTACGCGGAACTAACTTATGAAACTAACATATGAAACTTGAAAAGATTATTGAGCTTCAGTCACCCCAGCTCACAGATCTTGGATGTAACATGGCTCTACCTACAAAGGCCGGAAACAAAACGACAACAACAATTTTGAATTTTCTGCAATCTGGTTTTTGTTATGGAGTCAAGACAAGGATAAAACAGTATAAAACATTAAAGCAGCTTAGACATAACTAAACTTTCCACCAATT